ATAATCTGCAATGCCATAGCTTTCACGCATCAGTTCAGTTTACAGTTACGTAAAGAGACATTAGCGACAAAAAGGCAGCAGCAGAAGAGATGTGCTGCACGCAGCGAGTACCACAACGGAGGAGAGAGGCATTTCGACTGCTAGGTCTCTGCAGTCCACTCTGCCCACTCTGAATTAGGGCAAGAACATGGAACAGCCATTAGATGGCAACCACTCCAAATTACTTCCCATCCCTCCTGCCTCTGACCCACTGACCTAAAATAATCCACATAAAATACATTCCCTTTCGTCACAGTTCAAAGCAAGTACAGACTTTGCCTCCTGTGCTAGGGTGCTTTTTAAGCGAAGAAAGGGCCATCAGAAATCCTGCCCTTGAAAGGAAAGCCTTGCAGGAGCCAGTGTTGGGCAGCTCTCCCACAGCACTACAGCAGGAGAACGTCACCTTCCGTGCACCGCATGGAACAGAAACACCTTCTGCCAGAAAACAAAGGCATCGTTTCTTTAGAAACACAGCAAAGATCGATCCCGATGAGATGTCTGCAGCTTGTTCTACAGACTTTAAAAGATTTACCTGTGTCAGGAAAGACATGGACCTGTTGGAGCGGGTCCAGAGGAGGGCCACAAAGATGATCAGAGGGCTGGAGCACCTCTCCTATGAGGACAGGCTGAGAGTTGGGGTCGTTCAGCCTGGAGAAGAGAAGGCTCCGGGGAGACCTTATTGTGGCCTTCCAGTACATAAAAGGTACAGGAGAGCTGGGGAAGGACTTTTTACAAGGGAATGTAGAGATAGGACTAAGGGTAATGGCTTCAAACTGGAAGAAGGTAAATTTAGATTAGATATCAGGAAGAAATTTTTCCCTGTGAGGGTGGTGAGCCCCTGGCACAGGTTGCCCCGAGAAGCTGTGGCTGCCCCATCCCTGGAGGTGTTCAAGGCCAGGTTGGACGGGGCTTGGGGCAACCTGGGCTGGATGGGAGGTGTCCCTGCCCAGGGCAGGGGACTTGGAACTCTATGACCTTCAAGGTCCTTTCCAACCTAAACCATTCCATGATTCTATAATCAGGTAAGTCCTCTGAAAAAGGTATTATACTAGAAGTTGTTCAAATACTTGCAGAAATTTCTTCAGCACTGATAAACAGTAGTTATTGGAACGCAACTTCATTTTGACAGTCCATTTGTTTATCTTTTTCTGTTTATATTTGTTCTATAAATTCTGAGTACGAAATTTTAACTTTAGAGGCTTCTTCGCCTTATATCCTTTTCTATAAGTTCAAATAAAAGTCTAGATTTTAATAGAGAAATTCAATATAAAATTTAACTATTTTGTACTTGGCAGGACTGTCTCCAACACACACAAACAAAAAAAAGAATTAAAATGCTATTTTACCTGCATTTCCGTCCTATTCCCATAATTGATTATAAAGGAGACAGCTGCTAAATACAAAAAAAATTTCCCTACCACACAGGCTCTTTTTTACATTAGACAATATTTGTTCTGCTTTAACAGAAGTAGCACACAAAACCACTCATAAAACTGCCTTCCTGCCAGTGATATCATAGTCTAACATAACCTATGCTGGGAAAGATGTCCTTCACTTAGGTTGATAGAGGACATCTACAAGAATGTGTAAAATAAGTTTATTTTACATGCACACAGTAGTACATACAAGGATATACTCAGAGAAAACAAAATAATGTTGCAAATAACATGAACAGAAATATATATTTTAAAAAATTCACCAACTCCTTAAGGTCAGTACCTACTTTAAAACTCCAAGTTGAAGTCAAAGGAGCAGAGACTTAGTGGATTCTCACACAAGAAAAAGCAAATTCTGGTATTAGCGATAGAAACTGTTCATTTGGCGTGGCCATGATAGACTGATTCAAGAGTAACAGTTGTTATCCAGCCACTAGAAGGGATATTTATTCTGCTAAATAAACTGTTGAGTACGAACAAATTTCCATAAGATTAACATTTTCAAATGTGTGTTCAAGCATAAAATAACTCAGATAAAATATTAATCCCACAGGTGAGAACTGCTTACTGAGCTCTTTTCATAGGGAATCACCTCTCTGCAGGTGGGCAACATCCATAAAGCTATATATTTTACTTATTTTTAGCACAGACGTTGCCTAAGCTGGTGATTGGAATTCATGCAAATATCAAAGCAGGAGAGCGTGCAGTTCACACTGTGCATTATCAGCAGTTGCTGCTTTCCTCTGTGCTTCACCAGGAAGACAGAATATTCCTAAGGTTTGTTATGCAGCAGTATAAAAATTATATTATACTGATATAAAATGACACGAGGTCTATTATAACCTGTCTATGGAAGGAAAATGTAGAACCATGAACCTGGTCATCATAATACAGCTGCAAAATTGTCTTCTGAAGAATGCATTTTTAAAAGAATAGAGAAACACTGCACAGCCCTAGACATCATATGGAAATAAGACCAACTTGGTGGCTCACCTTCATTTTCACTTTATAACTCTATTTAACACATATTTAACTGAATGAGCAGCAGAACGGCTATCAGATACACGGGGTCAACTCCTCCCAAGGACAGAAAATACTAAAGAGGAGATGAAGCGCACCAGAGTACCTAATTAGCAGAAGATGTGGTTGTCCACCACCTAAAAAGCATAGAAGCAGTGATACGGTTGAAGAGGAAGAAAAAGGAAGACCAGAGAGCGCCTTGAATGTCTGTAAGGCTGCTTTACACGCAGCATCTGTTTGAATGGGCTCATCACGTCACCATCAGTTCATGAATCTATATCCCACTTGGAATAATTCTCAGCGAGGGGAATGCTGGATCCCAAGCCCTCCCCGTGCTGAGGCTAACACCACACGACTACTCTGCGTCTCAGCTACACACGCTCGCAGCGCTGACATCGAGCAAGCAGGAAGTTATTTATAGGAAACTCTGCAAAGCAGATTGCTATGGAGATCCCTTACGTGACCGTAATGCAACCAAAACAAAAAGCTGTGGAGCAACTTTTCTCTTCATTACACTGTGGTGCTAAGGTGGTACTTCAGCTTTAGATAATTACTTTTAGTCTGCTGCATAGTTTGACCACTTCAAGTCCAATACTAATTTCGAGATAGCACCTACAGCCCAAATCAGTGACAGATTCCAGTATACCATGGACTGGGTACACGCAGCTAAAAAACAGTATCTTAAACTCAAAGATAAAATACACATCATCTCCAGTAATTATATATATATATTTTTTTTTAAAGCTTGTCACAAGTAAGAGTAAATATTTCGAAGTCAGTATTAGCTTTCCTCCCAAATATCAAGTGTCCAAACAGTCCCCTGGCTAGCTGACAAGACACCATGTTACCCACAGCAGCTCCCATAACTTGAGAGATTATTTCAACCTACGAGAACCACTGGACCTATTGATATAGTCTCAAAGGCAACACACTGGTCTTCAGAGCTGAAACACCAAGCGAACTAGGATTTCTTAATAAAAGACAGACACCATCCCATTGATAAGAAAGCACCTGCCAAATCTAAGAGCATTATGAGAAAGAAGGTATTAAAATGATAATCAAACCCGCTATATGATTTAACATGCATTAGAGCAAAGAATGTTAGAGCTACGCTGTTATTGGTAGTCCTTTTCTGCCACAATAAGGCATTCCAGGGCACAGAAGTCACAAATCATTGCTAAACAGTCTGCAGACCTTACAATCTTACAGGTATTTCAAAGAGAGACCAGAGCTGAAGGCTTTGGAAGGTACTACCTCAGCAGAGGGAGAAGTGGCTAAAAACCAAAGGAAGGTGGTAAAAAACATTTCATGAGAATACGGGACTTTTTGCCTGCAGACTACTTGCAAAAATGTCTAAGGAAGGTACCTAAGATAAAATGGATTGTCAACAGGCTTTGAATTGCTACACAGAGGTCAAAATCTCCCTGGAAAATTCCTGTGGTATATAGAATTGGAAAGATCAAACCCCACTAAACCAGAAGAAGCCACAAGACATTTCGCTTGTAAAAAAAGAGAGAAAGAAGCAACCATAGCACTTCTTTAGTAAAAAAATTCAATTCTAATTGTGTGACAATATGCAGAGCAATAATTAGGAAGTTCTAGTTTCCAAGCAACGCCCTATGCTTAAAGAAAAAGGAGTGAAGATATTCTAGAAAAAAAAACACCAGCTAGCAGTACAGCCATCAAATATAGAAATATGCCTTTTCTGATTAAGCTACATAATTCCAAATTGAGAAAGCTACATTTTTCATTTTTCCTGAAGGCTATCAGAATTGTGAAAATAATTTTCAACCACAGGAAACGTTTACATATCAGGCTCCCACCAGCTAAAGTAACTCACTAATAAAAGCAAAATTTTACACATACATAGCTCTAACACAGTAGAAATACGGAGAAATCCAGATTTTTCAGCATTATTCTAGACCAGCGGTAGCCTAATTCTAGACAACTTATGGAAGCAACTGCTCTTCGAATCACTAAGTTTTGTTGATTCCTGTGTGGCACTCAGACACAGCAGAGAGAGACCCCTCTGTAAACTGTCATTAAAAAAAGCATGCAAGCTCAGATCCTCATATAACTGTTAACAATTTAAAGTCCCCACCATAACAGCTGGTTGAAGATATGCTACTATAAAAATTCTTCAGGTGCAGACGCTTTGTAAAATTCTAGACCTTCCACTATAGGTTACCTTTTCTTCTTCTGAAAGGTTTGAAAGAGATCGCTCCTAAGATCTTACAGGTATTTCCTCACTCCAAAGCACCCATATCCCCGCTGCAGAGGAAAGTGCTCCTCATTGGACAAAGTGTACGCTAAAGGAAAACAACTTTTCAGAATGATTGGCTTGTTTTGCTATATTGCATACATGTAAACACCATTAGAGAACAGGCTGTTTCAAATAGCATCATCTGTGCACTGCCAAGAGCTCTGTAGCAATAGTTTATATAGCAAAAGAGCACTGTGGCAAAAAAAAAAGAATTGTAGTAAAAGAGATTACATTTTATTTACCTTGATGAGTCATCGTGACAGGTTCTTCACTGGATATATTGTTGTAAATGACCACTGCTGTGGCATTATGCGAAGCTGCTCGCAGTATTTTCTCTCTAAACGTGCAGTTTCCTCGCTGTAGCAAAGCGATCCACTGCTTGGTGTTTGGTGGAACTTGGAAACGTGTCCGAGGGTCACAGCCCAGGCGATCTGCAACTGAAACGGGAAATACATTGACACAGACGGCAATTTGTTCGAACAGGCAAAAAAAAAAACCCTAACTCCAAGTTTTGCTGAATTACTTAACAGCCAGGCACTAGGAAGCCACTATCCTCTCATTAATATAGCCTAAAGCTAACTGCATTCTTATGAAAAAAAGTCTTTAAAAAAAATCTCACTCATTGAGAGCTGTGACTATATGCCCCAAAATTAAGCTCACTAACACAAGCTATTTTTAACTCTAGTGCAGCTAGAACAATGAATTTACATTTGAATCAATACCTGCCTAGAGGCTGAAAAACATTAGAATATGGTTCATATGCTACAGGCATTTACGAAACAGCTGTTTATCAGTCAGTCTGGAGAGAACAACTTTTTTTTCTTCCTAATGCAGTCAAATATCACTGCAGTGGGAAGTGTAACTAAACAAAGGAGGTTGCAAAAACAAGATTTCAGAGTTATCTGCCACACGCAGGCTACTGTAAAAAAAAAAAAAAAAGACATTAAAAGCTGGTCTTGTAAAACCCCAGCAGCCACCATCAGCTTTCGACGCGTGCACATTTCCCCTACAAGGAAGCGCATTCAAACTGAGAGAGAAACAAACCGTTTCGCAAACGCGATGCACTCGAGTTGTCAGCTAAAGGGGTATTGATGGTATAAAGGAGGAGTAAGAGGAAGGGCAAGTGCCGGCGGGTTGAATTCAGCAGCCTGCAAAGCTCTCTGGTCCCTTCTGATGCTGTACCGGATCCTGGAGCAGCCCACACCCACACAGAGCGAGGTACAAAAGGCACGAAATGCAACGCAGAAGATAAAACTCCACGGTACAGCCGCCGAAACTGATGAATGACATTTCTGTTTACACAACTGGAAACACACAGTTTAGCCTGATACATCATTAAGGGATTTTAGAAATTTAGAGCCAACAGTAACTTAAAATACAAAGATATGTACCCCTTCAAAGGCCAAGAGTGTAAGAATCCTATGATACTAAAAATGGGTGGGATAACAGTGATTTTTCAAGACATAAACAAACAATTTATTTGCAGAATAGCTCTGAAAACATTACAGATCCTAAGTGCAATTCAAATGAAGTGTCCCACAACATTTTCCTTTTAAAGAAGGGAGTTCTTCAGCACAGACTATGGGATTTCAACAAAAGGTCTACCACAAAAAAATACCCAGTTTAACATACTAGCTGGAAACAAAAGACCTTTTTAAGCATCCTCAGCTTAACATAGCTCAGGTTAAAACCTGTAACAAAGAAGATTCCAATAGCCAAAGGACCTTTTCTGAAACAAGACAGAAAATCTTTTGCTCCCCTAAACTAGCACAGATGAATCTCTGTGGTGGCAATCGCACAGGAAACCGTCGCATCTCTTAATTTGGACAAGAAGTGCCTCTCCCTGTTCCCCTGGAAGGAGGGTGGGGAACCAGATACAAGCACATCCTTTTCACGATTGTTTTTCCAGGCTGTATTAGACATTTCAGACACCCGGGGTTATTTGCTGTAGGTTTGTACGTGTGCTTTTGTTTTATACGGGGATCAGGGAAAATCTGAAATACAGATGCCCAAAGCTGAATTTTAGAGAGTATTTTCTTCCATTACCCTGAGAGTAATGAGAGTATGCCCAAAGCTGAATTTTAGAGAGTATTTTCTTCCATTACTCAAATCCCTTTGGAAATTGCTAACTAGCACTGACCCACACGTGTTTTGGAGTGCTGGTGACGGCCATCACGAACAGCAATGATCACAGGAGTGCGCTTGCATATCAACTGCACTTTTGTAGCTTGTTTTGTAGTCTTAAATTTAAGAGAACAGTACTTTTTTTTCAAGGAACTGTAGTCCTTTTTGAAAATGTGATAGAACCATAACATGACACGTGCAACAAATCTTGATATCCTCTGTTAAGATAAAAGCAGTTTACTGTTCAACACACTCCTTCCCCTTGTTCAGAACATTTCCACTTAAAAATGCAGGAGGGGGAAAGCACTGGACTGTGATAGGAATTTTCTCAAGCCTTGAAAGCCAAAATCCCATCCTTCTCCCGTGAAATCATATTCAAGAATCCCCAGGTGTGATACGTCCTTTGGAAAACGCCATTCAAGAAATGGTCACAATTCCACACGATCTCCTCAAACTGCCAAAATTAACCCTGAAAGTAGACACTATGGCCAACATCAATTTACTTAAAACATATGGCATTGGTGAAGAGCACTAATCCTATGGATTATGTACAGTTTGCTTCAGTACACATCCTCAAAACTAAAATACCAAGTGAAAATAAAAATGGCCACAAAAATAGGGTAATGAGCTATTAGAATAAAAAAAATCATAAAAGCAATAAAAGGCAAAAGGCACCTTGAAAAGGGAAGCAGCATTCTCAAATGTCTGCTATGTACTTCAGTTATATAAAAAAATATATAGGCACCTTTAAATTTGTATGGCTTAAAATTTTTAGCTTAAAAACCGACAGAGAAAGTAGTAAGAGATAACAGAAACCATATCTCTGGGAAAAAATAGTACAAAATTTTCTACCATGGTAGAGATCAAAGTCTCTCTCAGCTGTGGACAGAGCTATGAAATGTTACTGGATAGAGCAACAGGATTAGGAAACAAGATATCAAGAGATAAAAGCTTTCCAGATATAGACCAACAAACACCACTCAAACGCATACAGCTTGCTATTCCTGACAAGGTGGATTCAATATGTCCCGATGAAAATTTAACAGCGGACAGTATTATTTTAGCACTTTAATACAAAAACATTAAGGAAAATCTGGTTGGTTTAGATAAACCTGAACTGAGTAACTGCAAGTCACCTGAGATTTAATAAAAAGTCACAACCCACTTTTCTTTACATGAGCACCCTACTTACACCACACAAATCTTAAGTAATCTTTTCACTAAATAAAATTCAGGAACAATTATGGAAAGCCTGAGTTTTTCTGCTTGTCTTTTAAATAGAC